CAGGGGGCGAGCGCATTCTTGAGGGCACCCGTGTCGAATTCCGCAAGTGCACCGCACCAGAATGTGGCATCATGGGGGCTCTGTCCCAGTTGCCCCGCGCGTCGAGGTTGATGGACGGATGAAAGGCTCCAGCATGAAGAATGGACTTCTTGATCTCGTCGAACCTGGCCTGTAGTACAGCATTGACGCTTCCGGCTATGTCGGCACGGGACTTGAGTTGGGTGAGGCCACGTTCGGCTGATTCTTGTCTGGCGCACAAAAGCTCCCGTTGCCGCGCGATGGTCGCAATGAGCTCGGCTTGAGCGTTGGTTGATATGTTTGTTTGTTTTTTTCAGGTGGCTTCAAACTCAACAGCGGCTTTGCCAACTTGAGCTTGAAGTAGATATTGTAATTCGCTTCGTTGAAGGGCAGGTATGGTCGAGGCGAGAAGTTGTTGTGCACCGGCCGCCCCTGGATCGTCGGAGGGAAGTCCTTTGCCAGCACCTTTTTTCTCACCAGTGCCTGAGCCGCCACGAACTGCGTTGAGGGTACCACCCCCAACCGTACCACCAGGCGCTCCCATTCTGCAGCCTCGGTCGCAGGCGAGAGGTGGACCGCGCCTGCCACAGCAGAGCGCGCGTGATATGGAAGCTGGCCTCAGGCGAGTGCGGCAGCACAGGATAGGAAGCTCAACGCTCGGGCGCAGCGAGGGCGAAGACGGGAAAGCGGGGTCCTTGCTGGCCCTGGACCAAGGGTATCCGTGCTCTGCCACGGGGCGAAACCATATTGAGCCAAAATGGCTACGGAGGAGGAGGAGGGATAAGAATAGGAGGAGGAGCACCAGGAGGAGGAGCAGGAGGAGAAGGAGCAGGAGGAGTAGGATGAGGAGGAGGAGGAAAGAGGGAGGAGAGGGGGAGGAGGGCGGGGGAGGGTGGGGGAGGGGAGGGAGGGAGGGGAGGGACAAGAGGAGGCCACGGAAGGCGACCGACGAAAAACGAGCGGCAGGGGAAAGGGGCGGGAGTGGAGGGAGGGAGGGAAAGGGCGGGGGAGGGCGGGGGAGGGTAGGGAGGGGGGGAGAAGAGGAAACGAAAGAAGGCGACCGACGAAAAATGGAACGGAGGAGGAGGAGGAGGCGGAGCGTGTCCAAAGAGTTTGTGGCAATTCTAACACGGCGAATCCGCATCTCGATTGCGAGGGGTGAACGAGTGCGGAAGCCCCTTGCTTTCAACAGACATGGAAAACAGGGCGAGGTAGCGAGAGTAGAGCAGGTAGCAGAGGAACAAGGTTTGCGATTGCACGAAGAGGAGGCCAACGAAGAACCAGGTAGCGCAACCAAACACGCCTGTCAAGTTAAAAGCGTCTGTCATTCCTGTTGGATGGTTCAGTCTATGTCAGACTCAAGCGGGAGCAACATAGCGCTTACGAACTGGTGAGCAAGCACTTCGTTTTTCGCATCCACAATAATACGCTGAAGCTTAGAATTCATCCGCGCACCCTGTCGACGAATGGAAAACGCTGTTCTGTCTGACCCATGGCCGTCGTCGAAAATCCGCGTCGTTCGTCGTCGTCGTCGTCGTCGTCGTCGTCGTCGTCGTCGTCGTCGTCGTCGTCGTCTCAGTCACTGGGTCCTCCACCTCCAGCGCGCCAGCCACAACGACATCGGACTGAAGCCTCAAGCGCACCAGCCGAAGCGGGACCAAATCGAAGGTGAGCAACGTGGTAGTTGACCCGAAAGAAACCCCTTCCCTTTTGATCCTTTTCCCCGCAGGGGAAGGGGGGTCTCGGGGGGGGGGGTTAGGAGGGGGGGTCCTGGGGAGGGGTGGAGGGAGGGGTCCCCGATCCGAATACCATCCCCCACGGGCGGTCTCCAGACCGAAAGGGGCCCAAAGACCACGACGGGCCAAGGGCGCCCCAAGAGGCTCCCAAAGCTGCCCAAGAGGGCCCCGAATCGACGAACGTTTGATCCTAGATGCCAAAGAGGGCCTCCAGAGTGCCCGAACGGCATTCAAGACGCTCCACTAGCCTCCGAGGGAAAGAATCGCGCGTTCTGGCCTTCAAAGCCTGCCGACATTCCTCCTCCGCTTCTTCTTCTTCTTCTTCCTCCCTCTCCTCCTCCTCCACCTCCTCCGCTCCCTCCTCATCCTCATCTCTCCTTGTCCTCCGCCTCCTCCTGCACCTCCTTGTCCTCCTCCTCCTCCTCATCAGCCTCATTCTCATCCTCCTCCTCCTCCTCTTCCCCCTCCTCCTTCTCCTCCTCCTCCTCCTCCTCCTCCTCCTCCTCTTATTCTTCCTCCCAATCTTCCCCCCAAGACTCATCAACGGCTTTGCAATACACCCTCCTTCCAAACTCCCCTTTCCATAGGCCCCATACACGGATTAATGCGAAATTCTCGGGACGTCAAATCGCGCCTTGACGATCCCGAATCGTGCCAGAACACCATTCCTGGGAATTCAACACCGCGGAGCGACGTGACTGGTGCGCCCTGCCACTCCGACATGGTGCCGAAATGCAGTTTCTGGGACGTTAGAGATGACAATCCTCGACGATGCGGCAAACTCTGAAGACGAATGTGCGGAGCGCGAAAGCGAGAACCACATTGTGAAGAGGAACCCCCGTCCATCCGTGAAACTCTTGCAAGCTTGTAAGACGAATGTGCGGGGAGATTAGGCGAGAACCGCATGTTGAAAACGGGCCGCCCTCCATCGGTAACAGGCTTTTGAAACGAATGTGTGCGGCGCTCAGCGAAGGACACGGTTGAAAAAGAACCGCCCTTCATCCTGGAAATTCTTGCAAACGTTTGAAACACATGTGCCCACCACGTTTTAAAAACAGGCCGCCCTCTATCCGCGAAGCTCTGGCAGAATCCAAGACTTCAGGATCATGACTCGCCCACCGCTCGGACGCCCATTCCCCGTGCATTTGTCGAGTTCGTGCGTGTTTTTTCTCGCGAAACGATCAAAAATTAGGGCGACCGAATCTATGCATTATCCACTGCTCCCTGGCCAGGCACACCGTGAACCCAGCAGCAGTGTATACGCCACACCCTCCTGGCTGGGCCAGGAGGGCGTATACACAGCTCCTGGGTTCAGAGTGGGCCTGGCCAGGGAGCAGTGGATATGTATAGATTTCGTCGCCCGAAAAAATGCTCCTCGATGGCCCTCGCCAAGAGAGAATGCACACGCCCGAGCGATGCCACGATGAGCGGCGAAGATGTATCGGGCGAGGCGCCTGGCCCGCCCCTTCGACCGGCCCCTCGGGGTGCGACGGGGCGGAGCCCCGCCGGCCCCTCTGGGCGCCGGCGGTCTGGAGCGCCTCCCTTTCCAGCGTCCTTCCTCTTCCCTGCTCGGGAGGTCTACCCCCCGCCCCCCCCTCCCTGGGTCTGGACGGGCTCCCCCGCGAGGGGTTGGAGCGTCCAAGATGGCCCAAGATAGCTTCAAGAGGGCTTCAGCTAGCCCAAGATGGCCTCCAAGATCGCCCAGGATACCTCAAGACGGCTCAAGATAGCCTCCAACACGCATCCAAGAGGCCTCAAGACGGCCCAAGACGGATTCAAGTGCCCTCCGAGCCCTCCGAGGACCCCCCCAAGAGGCCAAAACGGGTTCAAAACCGAAGGAAAATCATTGTTTGTTCCCTTTTCAGTTTTTTCGCTTGCGATGGGCTCATGAGGCGTCAAGATGGCCCCACATGGCACAACATAGCCCCAAGAGAGGCCCAAGAGGGCCCCAAGACGGCCCCACGAGCGCCCCACGAGCGGTCCAAGAGGGCCCAAAGACGCCCCTTTTGGGCCTCCGAGGGGGGGACGTACATTCAAAACCCCAATCTTTTGGAGCGACGGGGTCCAAGACGGCCCCAAGAGGCTTCCCAGACCCCCCCAAAGAGCCCCAAGAGGGCTCCAAGACCCATCAGAAAAGCCCCAAGAAGGTCCCAAGAAGGCCTCCAGAGGACCCCAAGAGCACCCCAAGATGGCGCCCAAATGGCATTATGAGTCTTCGAAGAGCCCCTCACCACGACATATGCCCAATGCTCGACTTCTCGTCCTCCTTGTCATCGTCCGTTCCTTCCTTGCTTCTTTCATGCAGCCTCCCTGCTCCTCTTCATCCTCCTCGCGCCGCGTTCCTCCTTCTCCTCTTCCTCCTCCTTCCCTTCCTCCTTTTCTCTTTTTCCTCCTCCTCCTCCTGCGCCTCCTCCTCCTCCTCTTCTTCCTACTCCTCCTCTTACCACCAAGATGACCCCAGGCATCACCAGCACCAGCAGCACCACTTACTCCAAGATGGCTCCAAGAGGGCAACAGAGCACCACAAGCAGCAACACCAGCAGCATCGCCACCACCGCCACCACCACCACCACCATCACCAGCAGCCGCACGCGAGTTTAAGATAAACTTCAGTGCGGGGCAGAGATTCAGGATGCATCTGGGGATGCGACTCTCAACTGTGCGAGAAGGGCGACGAAGTATGTGTATATATATATATATATACATACAGTCACCTGCGCCAAAGACGCGTACCACAAGGAACAACCCAGCGTATCTTGTGCCGGTTTCCATCTTAAACTTCGCTACGGGAAGCTACATATGTGTGATCCGTGTTTCTCATGGCCCAGGGTGGATACAGCCACCAGCGCCAGAGACGTTTACCACGGGGAGCACAACGTCGTATCTTGCACTGGCTTCCATCTTAAACTTCAATGCGGGAAGCTATGTGTGATCCTTGTTTTTCTAAAGACGGCCGCGCAACTGCATGCTTCCAGCCGTCCCTGATTTACCAACTCCCTTGCTGATCGTTCCTGGATGGGCTGGTTGGGATACACGAGGCGTCAAGAAACATCTATAAGGGAAAGGCATCGAAGGGAGGATTATCGATCAGGGGAAGGAATGGGAAAGGAAGTGGAGGAGGAGGAGGAGGAGGAGGAAGAGGAGGAGGAGGAGGAGGATGGGGAGGAGGAGGAGGAGGAGGAGGAGGAGAAGGAGGAGGAGGAGGAGGAGAAGGAAGAGGAGGAGGAGTAGAGGAGAGGAGTGATCTCAGGCACTCTCGCCTCGACCAGCGCCGCGCGCAGGCCCTCTGCCTCGAGGCGCAGCTGCTGCGCCTCCCCACGGCTCTGCCGCAGCTCCGCCTCGCGCGCGCCCGGCGCCGCCGCGCGCGCAGGGGCCCCGGCCGTATCTAACCAGACTCGAACGTACCCCTACCCCTAAGAGTAACAAGCCAAAAGTCGACGACGATCTCAGGGACGTGCCCTCAGGAACGGAGGGAATCCCTAGGATCGGCATCGAGATGAGGCGATGCCAGTCATAGGGATAGGGATATGCTCCAGGCTGGTGAGTACCGAGCTGGCTCGGACGGGAGCGGCTCCGGTCGAAGCGGCTCGGATCGGCTCGAGCCGACGAACCCGACTCGAGCCGAAGCGGCGCGGGTCGGCTCGCACCGCCTCCGCTCGAGCTGGAGCGCTTCGGGTCGGGCCGGCTCGAGCCTGAGCGAGTCGGACCGAACCAGTCCGAGCCGAACGGCCTCGGCTAGACTGGATCGCAGCCGCGCCTTCGCGCGCGCACAGGAGGGGACAGGGCCCCGGGGGGACAGGGCGAGCGAACGAACGAACGAACGACGCGCCCCCTCGGCCCAAAGGCCGTCTCGAGAGACGGGCGGCGCGGTGGCGTCTCAGCGGCCACAGCTCTTGATGGGCCTGTTCTCCACCACCACCCTAAACTGGAGGGGGGGAAGGGGATGGAGGATTAGGACGAGGGGGGGGGAGGAGGAGGAGGAGGAGGAGGAGGAGGAGGAGGAGGAGGAGGAGGAGGAGGAGGAGGAAGAAGAAGAAGAAGAGGGAAGAGGAGAAGAGGGGGGAGGGTGAGGCATAGGAAGGAGGAGGAGAGAAGGAAGTGAGGAGGAGAGGAGAGAGGAGGAAGAAGAGGGGAGGAACCCCTCCCCCTCCTACTTATGGTGGTGGCGGTGGAAAACGGGCCCATCAATTCTGGCACCCAGTGGTGAGTTCGGCAGCCAGGGCCTGCGCTGCCCACCTTGCCGCCCGACGCGGTTCCCGGGGGGGGGGGAGCAGGGCGAGGGCGGGAGGAGGAGGAGAAGGAGGAGGACGAGGGAGGGAGGGAGGTAGGGGAGCATGGAGGGAGGGAAGGGGAGGGAAGCGCAGGGCGCCCCTCCCGCCTCGCTCGAGCGCGCGAGGAGGGCCACGGGGCCTGGATCGGCCTAGGAGGCCTGTAGGGGCCACGCTTGGTGGCTTCGAGGGCACGCCCCCCCCCAACACACACACACAGACACACAGACACACAGACACACAGACACACAGACACACAGACACACAGACACACAGACACACAGACACACAGACACACACGCACGCACGCACGCACGCACGCGCGCACGCACACGCACACGCACACGCACACGCACACGCACCCGCACCCGCACCCGCACATGCACACGCACACGCCCACGCACACGCACACGCACACGCACACGCACACGCACACGCACACGCACCACACGCACACGCACACGCACACGCACACTCACACGCACGCACGCACGCACGCACACGCACGCACGCACGCACTCACGCACGCCCACACACACACATACACACACACGATAGGGAACTCGTCGAAATCGTCGTCGTCGTCGTCGTCAGCCTCGTCGTCGTTGTCGTCGTCGTCGTCGTGTGTGGTTGCTTCGCCAGATGATCAAGGATGCTCCTCGATGGTCCTCGCCGAAGGAAACATACACACGTCCGAGAGATGCCAGGGGTTCGGGGTGGCTTTCCCTCCCTTGACGCGCTGCCAGCCTGCCGGCGAGGCGTCGGTCCCCGTGGCCCACCAGGGGGGGACGGGGGGGGGGGCCGAGGAGGCGGCGGGCGAGGAGGGAAGGAGGGATGACGAGGGACTCCATTCTGCCCCCCCCTTCCCGTGCTGCCCGTCCACTTCCCTTCCTCCACCACCCCTCTTCTCCCCCCCCGTCACCCTCCACCCTCTCCCCTCCCCCAATCACCTTCCCCCCCCCCTCGTCCCCTCCCCCCCTCTTGCTCCTCCTCCTTCCCCATCAACCTTCCTGTCATGCTCCCCTCGTCGCCATGCTTCTCCTGATCCGTGCCGCCCTGCTCCCGGCCCAGCATCCAGAAGGAATGGGGGAGAAGGGGGCCAAGGAGGCGTGGAGATGTGGAGGAGGATGAAAACGGGTGGATGTGGATCAGCAGGGTGGGGACGACGACCACCACGACCACGACGGCGCGAGAGAGAGAGAGAGAGGAAACAGAACACGAGTGAAACAGGGAGCGAAAGTAAAAGCGAGAGAGAGAGAGAGAGAGGAAGCATAGCACGATAGAAACAGGGAGCGAAACCACAAGAGAGAGAGAGAGACAACGAGAGAAAGAGAGGAATCTATAACGACAACACGCAAACAAACGTATGAAGCAAGAACGAGAGGTGGCGGGCGCGCTGGCGGCGCTGGGCCTCCGCCGTGCTCTGCGCCGCACTCTGCTCCCACGCCTCGCGGGCGCGGGGGGGGGGCGGAGATCCTCTGGAAGCCACGACCAGAAAGCCAAAGGCGAAAGACCACCCAGGAATCCTCCTCTTTCTCTTCGTTGTCCTCTTTCTTCTCCTTCTCTTCCTCTCTCACGTTCCCCTGCTGGGCCTCCACAACAACCTCCTACTTGCCCCACATCACCGTCGTCATGTTTCTGCTGATTATCCTCCCCATCGTCTTCTTCCTCCTCCTCCTCCTCCTCCTCCTCCTCCTCCTCCTCCTCCTCCTCCTCCTCCTCCTCCCCCTCATCATCCTCATCCTCCTATTCCTCCTCCTCGTCCTCCTCGTGTTCCTCATGTTCTCCAATCCCTGCCGACCCCTCCTTCTCATCATCATCATCATCATCATCATCATCATCATCATCATCATCATCATCATCATCATCATCATCATCATCATCATAATCATAATCATCAGCATCATCATCATCATCAGCAGCAGCACTAGCGTCATCAGCATCATAATCATCATCAGCATCATCATCGTCAGCATCTTCATCCTCATCGGCATCATCATCAGCAGCAGCATCACCATCACCATCAGCAATATGATCAGCATCAGCAGCATCACCATCATCATCATCATCATCAGCAACAACATCAGCATCAACACCATCATCAACAACAACATCATCATGAACACAATTGTCACCGTCATCATCGGCACCATCATTACTCAACCAACCAAACGACCGCCATCGTCACCAGCATGGCGATTAGCATCAATAGTGCCATCCTCACCATCATCATCGGCGCCTGCCTCGGCATTGGCATCCGCATCGCCAGCACCAGCAGCAACATCACCATCATAATCACCATCAACCACTTCCGCCAGCATCCTAACCGCTTCCGCCAACATCCATCATCATCCGCCGAGTCGCGATCGTCACCAGCCTCATCGTCACAATCGCAATCACCTTCATCATTCCATGCCCATCACCACAACCATCAACATCAACAACATCACCATCACCATCCGCAACATCACATGAATTGTGCGATCTCGTCGGTACCGTCGTCGTCCAAGACGCCCGCGCGTGAACACACGACAAGATAACCATGAACGAACGAGGCGCCAGAAGAGGAGAGGAAGAAGGACGTAGAACCAGGAGGCTCCTTCTCCTCTCTCCCTCCTTCCGTGGGCCACAGGGCGCAGCCAAGGAGGAGGAGGGGCGAGCGAGCAGCAACCGAGAAGCAGTCGGAGTCAGAGCGACCGCTTCGGCGGGACGGGAGGGTACGCGACCCCCGTAGCCCACGGAACCACTCCCTTGAGGGCGGGGCCCGAAGCCGTCCGCTCTACAGGTTTCAGCCGCCTGGGCACGGGACCCGTGGGCCCGGAACGGCGACGCACCTCGGCCGCGTGGCGCAGAGGGCACGGGGCCCGCGCCGGGCCCGTGCTCTCACCCGCGAGTAGGCCGAGGGACCCGACGGGGAAGGGGGTCGTCGGATCGCAGCGCCACGGCGCGGGAGCTGGCCCACAGCAGCTCGCAGGGCACAGCAAGGATGGCCCAAGACACCCGGACAGACCTGCCGCTTGCACCAAGGATGCCGGCGCAGTGCTCTAACGACAGGGGCAAAACAGGCTGGGTGGGGCCAGCACGTGGCGCTCGAGAGCCAGCACAGCTGCAATCCCAGGAGGCCTGGAGGGAACACACCCGCCGGGGCGATCGAACCAGCACAAGCTGGATCTGGACGAGGATCAAACACCACAGCATCCACGTCAGTTGCCCGAACAATTTGACATGATCAGTCCGAACGGTCCAATCCACACGCACGGGGGCAACTCCAGGGGTGCCCCCGATCCCAACGTCAACCAGGAAACGCCACCATCGTTGTCTGTCACATCCTCTTGGTCGCGCCTGCCATCTCGAAGGCCTCCGCATAATCAGGCCAGGCCAGATGCGTCAATCATCGTCTCAGAGTCCAGGAGCCTCCCACGTACGATCTCTGGCGCCTGTACCTGGGGTCGTGAAACTTTTCCCCATCGCATGGCTGAGCCAAACGATGTCATGGGCAAAATCGTTCGGCGCCCTGGAAGCCTTGAGACGGACGTCCGCGTGCAGGCTCTGAGGGCACCTGAGGTTGTGAGAATGCATGGTACCGTCCACAATCCGTCCCGAAGCAAGTTCTCCATTCACAATCTGGACTGACCCCACGACGGCTCTCAGAATCCGTGCTGAAGTACTGGCAACGCAGCGTGCAGTGCTTGAGGACGTGATGCGGGTCGGCCATGGGAAAATCGAGCCAAGCAGTGTCGCCCACCTTCCAAGGCTCCAACAGCACATCGCATTCGTCGCTGATGTCTCGGGGGTTGCTGGAGGTGCCCCTGGTCAAAGGTGCCCCCAGCTTTTCGCTCGATGTTGGAGCGCCTGGGGCCCTCTGGGCCTCGTGAGGGGTGCTCTGGAGGCCGCGGGGGCCTCCTTGGGAATCCTGGGGGACACCTTGGGCCAGGGGCACTTCTAGCAACACCCGAATGTCTGGGCTCGGAGCTCGGGAGCCGGCTTGAAACAGGGCATCCGACTTCGCTGCCCGACCCGCCGCCTCAGGGAAGTCGTAGTCGAGCCCCTCAGACTGCCGTCGTACAGTCAGGGCGTTGACCTAAGGAACCCTAAATAAGGAACGAGGCCCTTTTCTCCATGGGTTGAACTTCGATTCCCCGTCGAAAACATAAGGAAAAACCTGAGGCAAGCTGTGAAACACTTCAGCGAACACGGAGCCCCTCCCCAACGAACACGGAGCCCCTCCCCAACGAACAGGGTTCCTTCTGCAGCGCCCCGACTGCAGTAGTCGACCCCCTCAGGGCTGCTGTCGTACGGCCACCCTTGAAAGTGACCCGAGCACTGCAGCAACAGCTTGTTGAAGCGAAGACAGCCTTCCGCCAAGCAGGAACGATCCTCCTCCGGGAGGCTGGCTGCCGCGCCTCCTGGCCAACTCGTCAGCCGTGATGTTACCCTGTCGTTCGAAACTGTGCGTCCACACCGTCACGTACATCGTTGTCTGTCACGTGGCCGTTCATTACCAGCCTGGAACATATCCCTATCCCTATGCTGGGCACCTCCTCATCACGATGTCAATCTTAGGGATTCCCTTATTTTTTGAGGGCGAATCCCTAAGATTGTCATCGTCTTTTGGCGTGTCAATCTTAGGGATAGGGAAACGTTCGAGGCTGGTAATGACTGCCGAGCTCCTCGTTCCTGGCCACCGGCTGCCACGGGCGTGACCGAAGATCCTGAGCGAAAGAAGCAACCCTGCTGAACGTTCCTGCAGCAGTCGAGCGCGCCTCCTGCACTGCGAGTGCGACTGTGCAGCTGGCGAAGACCGTTTTGCTCGCCATCAGCACCGCGTAGTCCTCCGCCGTCCTGCGCCGGGCAGGCTGCTGTCGGCACCGCGCCGTGGTGCCTGGCCAACGAGCGACGCCGGCTGCCGAATGCAGCGACTGCCCGGCCCGCACATCTGAGATGTGGAATGCGGGTGCGAAAGCCGCTGCCATCAGTGAAGGCAAACCCATTCTCGATCATGGCCGCACCTTTGCGGTCCGTGTCGAGAAAGCGGCGTGCTGGGCCACGCCCTTGGTGAGCGAAGGCTTGGGCAGGGTCTGGCAGCAGGCCTCCGGAGAAGAGCGGTCTCGAGGACGCGGGGCCTGTCCTCCGCGCGCCCAGCAGGAACCCTGGGAGCCTCGAGAGGAACTGCTCCTGACGGAAGACAAGGAGCGAGTCACACTCGAACGAGGAGGAGGAGGAGGACGAGGAGGAGAAGGAGGAGGAGGAGGAGGAGGATGAGGAGGAGGAGGAGAAGGAGAAGGAGGAGGAGGAGGACGACGACGAGGGAGGGAGGGAGGGGAGCATGGAGGGAGGGAAGTGGAGGGAAGCGCAGGCCGCCCCTCCCGCCTCGCTCGCGCGCGCGAGGAGGAGCGGGAAGCAAGAGGAGTTAGGGGAGCAGGCCTGAGGGGGAGCTTCCTCTCCTCCCTCATCATCTCCGTCACCTTTTGGCGCCCTCCTCCCTCTTCTCCCTCCTCCTCCCCCTTCTCCTCCTCCTCCGCCTCCTTTCTTTCCTCCTCACCCACTCCCGCTCTTTCTACTCCCCCTCGAGGCTGCGGAATGGTTCGACTCAGCCAACAAGTCTATCTCCCCCTTCTCCTCCTCCGCTTCCTCCTCCGTGGAGAATGGGGGGGGATGAGGACTGGGAAGGAGGAGCTGGAGGGAAGAGGAGGACGAGGGAGGACGGGACGGGACGGGCCTCCACGCGGACCTACTGCAAGGCAAGGCTGCGCCCATCTGGGCGGGACGGCAAGGACCGCAGCCCACAGAAAAGGTAGCTAAGCTAGTCCATGCTCCGGCTACGTACATATGTGGCGAAACAGGTCGTGGCACCCCTCGCTTTCAGATGCATCCATGACTGCATCCATGGCAGCCGTGTGCCACATTCAGACACAGGGGCATAGTGAGCAACTTTGGGGCCCTCTAAGACCTCGGGGATGGACAAAAACCCTTTTCGTAAAACGTGGCTCAGCGAAAGCGACCTCGGACCCGGACCAAGCGAGCGCGAGGCTGGAACATGACGGCCGCGGCGCCCTCTCGAGAACCGAAAACGGACAATTCACTAATCGACGTGTCAGGGAGGGGGTTCTGTCCGCTCCCGAAGACCTCATTTTCGGGCAGGGGTCCGGGTCGGCAGCTCGGGCCGGCGCGGGGGTGGTCGGCAACCTGTGGGAATTGAAGGGCCAGCCTGGTCGACTTGGCCTGGCCGAGGAGCGGTCCGCTTTTTGCCCCGCGCGGGAAGCGGTGAATAATTGAGGCGGGGGGGGGAGAATCATTCTCGGGCTGGGCGAAAGGGGGGGATAGCAAAGGGCGAGGTTGAGAATCAGCTCGCGTAGCTGATTTTCCTGGCGCCTCCCGGCGCCGGAGGCGGTCATGTATCGAGGAATGGGCCCCTCGGTGGGGCCGACACCAGCTACATGCAGCAGATCTCGTACCCCCCCCCCTTTCCCTATCCCCCCCTTTCGTCCGGCACAACATTCACCGCGCCGCAAGGTGATTGACTTTTGGCCGGGTAGAAATATGCACCTTCTTGTTTCGCATTGTTTCGCACCAACCGTTCCCGAACTTCCCCGTGTTGAAAACTCATATCTTGCACTTCAGCAAAAAAACGGGGGGGCAGAATTCGAGGCCCTCCCTTTGTTGTATGGTCTGGTTGCGATTCTGGGTTTAACGTGGTGTTGATGCGATGAGTTGTGCGAACGACAGTTCATACGCCGACTTATGTTCCTTTCCAAACATTATATGCGACAGTTGTGCAACAACAAAAAAGGCTCACCATGGTCACTCGTCCAACACATGAAACGATTGATGTCGCTGCGTCTACGTTGAGTACCAGTGTCGGCTGGCCGAGGTTGATGAATGAGGCAATTGTAAACGAGTGTGCGGATACCGTCGTCCCTCTGCTTCTTTTGCCCGCCGCAGAAGGCCGGGGATGCGTTGGCGACCTCGCCGCCTGGCGATGGAGTTGTTCATCCCCTCTCCATCTAGCCTGCCTTCTTTCTCTCCTTTTCTTCTCCTTCGTCGTCCTTTCTTCCTCACTGTCCTCCTCCTCCTCTTCCTCCTCCTCCGTCCTGGAGTCCTTCCTCCTCCTTCCGCTCCCTTCCGCTCCTTTGGCCGCAGCGCCCACCGGGAGAGGCGCGCCCTTGGCCATGCCCACGGGTTGGCCAAGAGGGGCGCGGCTAGGCGCGGTGGCGAGCCCGAAGCTGCCCTCCGGCGAGGCCTGCGAGACCTGGCCGGGAGAGCAGCCTGCCGAAGCGGCTCCGCTGGGCACCTCGCTGCTGGCCGAGGGCGGCCGCCCAGACCATGCCGCCGCGCTGCGGGGGACGGCTGCCCAGAGAGGCGAGCCCGAGGAGGCCCTTATCGAAGAGGGGGGGGGGGCCGGGGAGGTGGCGGCGCAGGAAGCTGCGGAGGACAGGCAGGCTGGCTGGGCCGTCTGGCGGCCCAAAAGGCCCGCGGAGCTGCTGCCTGGATGCGCTGGCGCGCTGGGGCCGCCCGTCGTCGCCCGCCTCCGTTGACCGCGACGGGGCCAAAGTCTTCGGGCATGCGTGGTGGGTGCAAGGGGCATGTGCAGCTGCGCTGTGACGTCGTGCGGAGGCCGGATGCGCGGCTGGTCTTCTGCATTGGCTGCGGCGCGGGTGTGGAGAGGGCGCAGGCCGGGGAAGCTGCTGGGCAGCAGGAAGAGCAGCTTGTGGGACAGGCTGCCAAGCGCAGAGTCGCCTGCTGCTACGAGCTACGTGAACACCTCGACGAGATGCGGAGGCTGGGGCGCCTGGCTGAGCCCAGCGAGGAGACCTCCGACGCCGGCTTGAACGGCAAGCTCAACTGACTCGGCGAGCCACGGCTGACGGGTGCCCGCAGACACGCGGGCCGCACCTCTACCCACCCCCAACTGGAGAGAGGCTGAAGCATCAGATGACAGAGTTGAATGGGCGGTGGCATGAGATCGCGGATGGTGGAGGACATCTGTGCACCTCCAAGTGCTGGCGGCAGGCACATGGTGCCCACCACTGACTACCTACCAGACCACACCAACCCAACCCGAAGACCCGAATTTCGGGTTGGGGGGGTAAGGGTTCCACATGTGTTTTTTCGATGTTTCCCGACCCCCCCCCACTAGAAATCGAGGGTAAATCTGAGCCTTCGGGTTGGGTTGGGGTGGTTTGGTGGGTGGTGAGTGAGAGGCCCATGGCGCTCTCTGATGCCCACCCCGCCCCGTCCACAGGGCCTTCGCACCTCCTCCTCTGCTGGGGCGACGGGTGGGCGGGGCGCCCCCCCCCCCTGGCGTCGCACGCGCTGCGCCAGGGCTGGCGGGGATGTTGCCGGGCTCGGTGCCGAGTCCCTCCCGCCCGTCCTTTCCCGGGGGCACGACATCCAGTGAGGCCCCCCCAGGGATGATATACCCCTGGGGACGAACAACGAGCTCATCAATAAAATAATGTTTGATAAAGAATATGAGCTCGTACAATGAAGAAAAATAATTGATTTTTACGAGAAAGGAAGAACAAAAGGACGATTATAAATTTATAAGTTCTTCTCATTGATTCCTTGGAGATCGTGTAAAAGAAATTGAAAACTTCCAAGCTCACATAAAAGAAAAAGAGAAAAGAACAACTCAAAAACCCCTGCCTGGTTTGTCCGATGCCCCGAAGGCCCCCCCCCCCACGGATATCTCCGCCACTGCTTGCGAAAACAGCGCAGCTGCTGCTGTTGCTGCTTGGCTTCGCCGTGAAATCGCGGGTAGGCCGTCACGCGCGAAATAGCCAGTGCAGCAGGGTCAACAGTACGAAGTGGAAGGATCGGTATCCGCCGGCCCCCTTGTGGGGCCACCAGGCTGTAGGCCCGTGATTCGCAGTTTCCTGTACCAGTTGTAGTTTGTAGTTTCCAGTGTTACAGTTCTGCTTATTGCTGGTTACTGTAACTAGTTGATTGACCGCGCGAGGGGATGGAGGCCCAAACCA